GTAGGCTTTTTTCCTTGTTGTTCAGTGTTAGCATGGCCATGGTAAGGTCCCTTCTCTACTATGCTGACCTTGCCTTAATCTTATATAGGAACCTTGCCCCTGGTTCACAGAGATAGGGCTTTTTTCAATGACCTTGACCTACTCTGGATATTGTAGACCTCTTGTGGTCTTGTCTCAGGACATTGTCCTGATTTATTCCCATGGATAGAGGGTTTATTCTCCTTTTTTATATCAATTATATTTTATATCCAATGAATGTTTATCAGCACCTAATGGCAATAGTGACTTAAGACTTTATTTCCACAGAAACGTAAGGGAGAGGAAGCCAGCAGGGGGGATTCGTGTTCTTTCTGCAGGGGCTGTGATTCTGCTCTTCTAGGCTGGCACCATGAAAACATCATTTCAGTAATCTTACCCTGCCCCCAATTTTTCTTGTAAGCACCAGGAGAGGTTTGTGGAGCAGAGCATATAGATGGCACAGACTCCTATAATGCCTACATTTGTAAGGATTTATATTCTCATTTTAGCCCCCACTCAACCTTTAGTAACAAATTTTAAAATTTAGGTGAATTCTTCTTTCAGTGAGTATGGAACCCAGGAGCATCTAACACAGGTAGGTGAGAGCTCTTGTCCCATCTCTGTGGGGAGATGCTTGTCTTTGATTAAATTTGACGTTAGTCAGTTGCCCTGTGATCTCAGCTCTTTAATGAGTTCAATAAAAATTGCAAAATTGAACAAAATTTAGCAAGGTTTTGTAAAGGCAGTAGTAATGCTGACTCCAGCTTTCTGTACCCTAGGTGGATGCTCAAAACTTATTTCTTCTTGATCATGTAGGACACTTATATGAAAAATTACAACTTGGCACTATCTTCCTCAGTCACTCTGCATAGTCACCAGAACAGGATGAACAAGAAATCTTTCAAGAAGTCCCAAGCAACATTGCTTCAACAATTAATCTTAATTATCGTGACATTAAAAAAGGCATTATTTATTCAGCTGTGCATAAAGGTACTAAATTACTGAGTCCCAATAAGGTGCTTGCTGTTGTGTTAGATCCTGAATACATAGGGCAGAACAAAAGAGGTATGACTCCTGTATGAATAGTCCCTGATCTAATGGGAAAAGAGACATTAAAAATGTAAAGTCACAGATAAATATACAATTACAAATTTTAGTAAGTATTATGAAAAAGTTGAACAACATACTCAGAGTATAAGAAAGGAAGCTTCCACTAAATGGGGGGCGGGGGGAGAAGACACTTTCAGAATGGTAGAATAAGGGCCTCTGAAAGTCTACCTCTCCATCAAAGTAATAACAGGCAAGTTTTCAAAACAAAAAGTTTCAAAGCTCTAGAAATTAATGAGAGGCTAGAAACAATCTGGGGAGTGTTTATTCAAGAAAAAATGGCTGAATCCACATAATAATAGGGAGTTCGGTGGCATCCTAATTTGCTCTATTTCCCAATTCTGTGGTAGCCTTGAAAACTAGCAGATTCAGAACCACGGGAGCTGAGGAAAGCATCAGCCTAAAAGCTATTAAAGTGAGCAGGGTGCGTTGAGAGCTCCCTAAATGGCCACAAACTGAGAGAAATGACACTATTTCTCCAAATCCAGAGAAATGTCACTAGAAATGGCAGCCCTATAGACAAACCTCATTCACATTTTTAATATTTATTTCACTTCACTCAGTTCACTCTGTGAGAAAAGTCCTATTCCTAGGGTGTTTGTGGAAATGTTGAGTGGCAATTATTTATCATTATAATTGCCTGGGATGTCAATATTGTTAGGCAAACAGATAGATATGAGCAGGGTGGAGAGAGAGAGAATAAGACCAGTAAGGCCCACTAAAAGGAACTCAAAAAGTGAACCAGTTAAAACTGGAGAGTCAGAAAAGACTCCCAGAGTTAATCAGTTAATCAAGGGCCAGGAGTAACTTGGAATATCCAGATATCCTGCAGGTACAGAAAAGTATCCCAGCACAGCCCATGTCTTCATTGTGTCAATTAGATCTTCCCATTGTAAGATTTATTTTAGCCTGCTAAAAGGCCCAGCTTATTCTTTAATTTAACCTATATGCTGTTCTTTTCTTCTTCCTCCAGCCCCTAATCAAGTAATTTGCAACCTGGCCAGGAGATAAGCATCATGATTAATTTTCCAAACAAGTCCAGAGATAAACAGCACAGTAAAAACAGGAAAGATTCCATCTTAAAGCTAAGATTGCATTTTAAAACCCAGGAAGGTAAGAAGTAAGATTTTTGACATATTTTTTAGCAAACAGACAATAACTCAGCCTACCTTGGGGGCAGGGCAAGAGGTCTTGATCGATATGCTCTCAGAGAGAAGCGGCTATTCTAGGGAGGAGCCGAATCAGTAAATTTCCGGTGTAGTTAATTTTGCAATTACCTGGAGGACTGATAATATACGAGAAGATACATAATGTCTCTCATCAAAGATAAACATCTTGAGACCCCTTGACAAGTCCACAACCCTAGCCCTTTGTCACATTCTTGAAAAATCCTTAAAAGGGGAACCCCCAATCTTTCAGTGCACCTCTCTGAGAATGCCCACATTTTCTAAGTGCATAGCCTTAAATAAAACTTTTTCTCATCCTTTCACGGAACACCTCCTCTCTGAGGACGCCTGCACTTTCTCTCTCTGTGAGTGTGTAACTTCAAGTAAAACTTGGTCTGCTTCACTACTGAGTCTCTGCCTGCGGGTAAAATTGCAGTATTTCCGGAATCTCTCACCTGGCCTTAGTGCATCTCTGTACCAGTAAGTGTTCCCAAACAGTGGAGAGAAGTAGTCCGTCTCCACATCAAGTTGGGTGGGGACCCTTTTTGCAGCTGTGTCATGAGAGATGCAAGCAGAAGTGGATTACTACTTGTAAGCAATAAATGGGTTTCTCCCACTCTGTTTTTCCCTTTGACTGATTTTGGTTTCAAAGGTAATTTGCCCTGGGCTGGGAAAGTATTTTTCCTTTGCAGTTACACCTGCACTCCCCCTTCCTAAAATTTTATCTAAGTATTTTTGAAAGACTTCTTACTGCTTAACTTATTACATTTTGTCTCTGTGCTCTTCCAGTGGTATCTTTATCACTTTGCTATTTCATTCTGTTTTCCTCACTTTAAGCACAAGTCTTCACTCTCTCTGTCCTACTCCAGATAAGACTCCTGAAAGCTCTGATTTGTGCTTGCAAGTTCCCGACAATGAGCTTCTCCTTCCCTTCTGCTTTATTCAAGTAAACCTGCGTTTGCCTACCTTGCCTCTGGCCCATTCCTCTCCCTTAGAGTGTATTGAAATTGAATGTTTGCTCTGCTTTACTCCTGCGTCTCCCCCCTTCAGTTCTTCGTTGTGGCAGGGACAAGAACTGAGAACAAACTCAATGCCGTGACTAACATCACTGACAAATCCTAGGTGGGAGGGGAGAACTGATTTCCAGAATATGCTACATTTTATTCCATAAAATGCCCATATTTCAATAACAAAAAAATGCATCACACAAAGAAAGAGGAAAGTATGACCAATACCTAGGTCTTTCAAAAATAATCTATAGAAACTACCTGAAGAAACCCAGATGTTGGATTTAATAGAAAAATATTTAAATCAGATATTAGAGATATGATCAAAAGACTAAAGGAAGCCTTGTCCAAAGAATTAAGAAAAGTATAAGAACAATGTCTCAACAAATAGAGAATATTAATAGACAAATTAATAATAAAATTATTAATAATTAATGATTTTATTAATATTTTAATAATACAAATAGAAATTCTTGAGTTGAAAATAAAATACAGACTTCATTAAAGTGATTCAGTCATAGATTTAAGGTGGCAGAAAAAAAATATTCAGTGAACTTTAAGACTAGGCAGTTGAGAATAGCCAGCCTGAGGAACAGAAATAAAAAAGAACAATGAGATACTACAACGGTACCAACAGATACCTAGTGGGAGTCCCAAAAGGAAAGAAAGGGACAGAAAGAATATTTGCAGAAATAATGGCCACTTTCAAAATCTGAGGAAGGGAAAGGATGCATATTTATAGATCCAAAATGTTTAACATAGTGAGACTGAAAATATTAGCAGATTTCTTCATTAACAAATTCATAGTATTTATTCATGGTATTCATAGTATTTATATACAAATTAATAGTATTTCTATACAAGTAAGTTATTAATGCTACTGTAATTTTTGGTGCTTAAAAGAAAATTGAATGTCAGATTTTTACTTAAGTGAATTAATGTATGCTCCTTATCATCCCTTTCATTTTCCTATATTGTTATATGTTACCTCTTTTAAGATTGTAATATAAATGTTAGATTTTTAGATGTGACTTATTAGTATAGAAATTTGCTAGGAAAACACATGCCCTATAAGAACAGCATATATTTGGATTAAAAACAAGAACAAAGAATCAATAATAAATCTATACTCAAGGAACTTTGGGAGTATTTTCATAAAGGTTGTCTTAAAAATGCAAAACCTATTTCTTTATGATATGTAAAAAGGTAAAATGATTTATAATCTTTAAAAACCAAACATATATACATATGTATGTGTGTGTATATTTCCAGTAAGTCAAATATTTTAGAATGTGTTCTCAGACACCAAAATAATGGTTTTAAATTCTACTAAAACAATAGACCAAGCTCATGTATGTATTAACTAATTTATCCTTTTGTAGGTGTGCGGATTTCATGAATTTCTCATGAATGATGTATGTGTATGCACATGCTTTTACATACATGTATGTGTTCATGTTTATGGGGGAATCTGAGTGAATATGGTCATTAAGAAGAAATTTTAAAATAAGAATTCCATGTTTGTGGGGGGTTCTTCTTAACCCATATTCCTAGGCCACATATTTTTTAAGACTTTCACTTTGTAGACTTGATAAGTAGCTTGGGAAAGTATTAGAAGAAATTAGAAATGCGTGGGCTAGCCAGGTGAATATTTCCTTAGATAGATCTGAGGATGAAAATGCTTATTGCAGATTCTATGTAATTAAAGCATGAACGCTATTGAACACTTTGCCTTCCCCACCGCCTTCTTAAAGCCACTCTTGACCTCCTTGTTCCGGAGGCTGTAGACCAGCGGATTCAGCATGGGGATGACCACAGTATAGAACACAGACGCCACCTTGTCTATTCCCACAGAACGGCCGGAGCTGGGCTGTAAGTACATGAATATGCCTGTCCCGTAGAAGATGGAGATGGCGGTGAGGTGGGACGCACAAGTGGAAAAGGCCTTCTGCCGTCCTTCAGATGAGCGCATCCTCAGGATGGTGATAAATATGAACAGGTAGGAGGACAAGATGACCAGGACGGTAAACAGGGCATTGAAACCCACCACAAAAAAAACAACCATCTCACTGATGTAGTGGTCTGAGCATGAGAGAGCCAGGAGAGGAGAAACGTCACAGAAAAAGTGATCAACCACATTGGATCTACAGAAGGAGAGCCTGAAAACGTTCGCAGTGTGAATGGAGGCGTTCAGGAAACCGCACAAGTAGGCGCCTGCAGCCAGGGAGGCGCACACACTTGTCGCCATGGTGGTGGTGTAATGCAGGGGTTTACACACAGCTGCGTAGCGGTCATAGGCCATTACAGCCAAGAGGAAACCTTCTACAGTGATAAAAGCTGCAAAGAAGAAGAGCTGGGTGGCACACGCACTGTAGGAGATGACCTTGTCTCCTGTGAGGAATCCTGCCATCACCTTGGGAGTGACAGCTGAGGAGTAACCGAAGTCCCCCAGAGACAGGTTACTGAGGAACAAGTACATGGGGGTGTGGAGCCGAGAGTCCAGCAGGATCAGCATGATCATCCCCAGGTTCCCAACCACAGTGATGAGGTAGATGAGCGAGAAGAGAATGAATAGCGGGATCTGTAGTTCCGGGTCGTCAGTCAGCCCCACCAGAATGAACTCGGTCACCTCTGTACTGTTCTCCTGGGGGACCATTTGGGAATCACGTGGCTGCCCTGCAGCAATAACAATATGGAAGCAAGATGATAAATGGAGGGAAGACTGCTGAGATCGATCAGCACGTCACTCTGCCTCATTTCAGGGTCACAAAAACATGGTTCCTGCAGTCTTCAGATCTAAAGCACGGCTGTGGCAACTAAATGCAGTTTTAAATATTGACAGATCATAGAGGATCCTAGACGGAAGGATTTGGAGACAATGCATCCCAGTCTCCTAACTTCATAGAAGACTGAATCAAAGTAAATGAAGGAAAATCTCATGCGAGATCATCAATGTTGATAACTGGAACAGTTCAGGCTCCCCGTTCAAAGTTCATGAAACAAACACAAATTATCCTTTATACTAAACTAGAATATCCCAGCAAAATTAGTGTGAAATCGAGTGAACTTTACTTGAGCTGACATCTTTGTCCTTTCCATTGTTTCAAAAACAGCATTATATGATGGTAAAGGTTAGTTATGTAAGACATGTACTTAGCCCAAAATAGTCTCTGAACAGTATACACAATTTGTGATTTACCACATAGTGGGAAACCAGTCGTAACTCATGTAGAAAGAATAAAAACATCTAGAAAATAACATTTTTTAATTTTTTATTAAATTAATACATTTTGTAACTTTTGTACTCACATGTCTCCAATCTGGAGTCATGTTAAAGCCATGTTTAAAGGAGACAAAACACACCTCTACCAGGTATAGAATCGATGAACTTGGGTAGTATGTAACATTGCTCAGCCATCAGTTATCAGACTGGGCTTCTAATGCAAACTTGAACAATGTAAGTTATCAGGTAGAATGATTCGGATGGAGCGCTTGATCTAGCTGCTATCGGGGAGGTAGGTAAAATAATACAGAGATCCAGATAAGGGTGAAATCAACGGTTTGATAACATCTCTCATGTCATTTACTTTCCTCCTAAACTCCTTCTATTCCTGTCTTTCACATACCCTTCTCCAATTTTTAACACAGATTTCTCTCTATATATATGAGTGGCCTTTTCAGCTGTGCCGGTAAGAACCCATTTATTTTCTAAGTTACCTTCAGTAGTAACTAATGTGCCCAGGTCTTGGTTTCCCCATCTGTAAAATGGGGCTAATAATATCCTCCAATCACTTAATAAGCATACATTCTTGGGAAATTCAACATGTAGGTGAGTTTCCCTTTTGTTCCATTATTCTTCCTTTCTCAGAAACCTGAAAAAGCTACATAGATAGGAACAGTACAAATGTTGATACATTATCACTGATGTTATGAACCACATAGGGGAATTTTTTGAAGACTACATAAATTGTTATGGAATCTCCACTTACTTTCTTAAATCAAAAATCTTTCCAAAACAGAGCCTGAAAATTTTATCTACTCTAAAATTTTATCTAAGTAGTTTAGAGATTAAATATCCTTAAGAGATTAATTCCTACTACAGCAACTATATATTTGATCCAGTGATGAGTGGCTACTGTAAGTGAGACATTGCCATAGATACCAGAAATAAAAGGCAAAACAGCAATTTCTATTTTAGAAAGGGAGGTAAATATAAAATAAAATGAATAGGGCAATATATAGTATGGAAATTTATTAAAAAGCCAAGTGGGGGATAGTAAGGTTAGAAATAGGTGGATATAATTTTAAATATGGTGGTCTAGGAGATCCTCATCCATAAAATAATATTTTTGAGCAAATACCTGGAGGAAACAGGGGAGCAAGTCTTGAGTACATTTGGGCGAAGAGTATTCCAGGCAAGGGGAAATGCAAATATATGGAACTGGAGTTTGAATATGCCAAGATTGTTCTAGGCACAGCAAAAAAAAAAAAAAAAGATAATGCTACAGTGAAAAGAAAAGTTTAGGTTAGAGAAGTATAGCAGGGTGAGCTGTAATGACCTCATACACTATATAAAGTTATTAAGCTTTTATTCTGAGTGAGGTTGGAAACAGAATTTAGACAAATAGGTGACATAGTCTGACTTCTTTTATAAAGGATCACGCTAGTAGATCTGTTGATAATTGAATTTAGCAGGATAAGAATGAAAAGTGCTCGAAAAATTAGGTGGTCATTGTAATAGTCCAGGTAAAAGATAATGACGGCTTGGACCAAGATGGTCGTGAAAAAGATAATGAGAAATTACCCACTTTGGGATTTCTTCAAAAGTAGAGCTGACAATTTCCTGATACATTGAAAAAAGGGCATGAAAGAAAGAGAGGGGTCAATGCTGACTCCAAACTTTGTGCAGTGATAGATGGAATAGTGTAAAAGAAGCAGATGTTTGGAAAAGTGGGGAAAGAGGTCATTTCATTGAGTTTGTGATGCTTTAGGACACCCAAGTAGAAATGTTGCATAAATAATTGGATATATGTTCTAGATTTCAGAGAAGACTCGTTGCAACAGATTATATTAATTTGACCTCTGTTGGTAGTTTCTAATAGCTCAAAGTATATATATATATATATATATCTCATATGGAATCCCCAAGACTAAATAACATCACCAAAAGAAGTTTAGGCAGACAAAAATCAGAGTATTCTAATGTCACACAGTCAAAAAGATGAGGGATTTGGTGGAGGATGTGGGAGAGACAATCGCCACCACTTTAGATGGTTTCAAGGGAAGCGCTGTCCTGGGACATGGATTTCAGGTAGACCAAGTGGCTAAAGGGGACTTTCAGATGAAATGTTGTATACGTTGGGTTATGCCGATGACTGGCTATAAATTCCAGAGTGGAATGATTTCAGGAGGTGGGCAGGAGTGGAAGCCATGGTCAGTAAAGGAGATATACAGAATGGCATATCAGAATGGACATTATTTTGCAGGATTTGAAAGCTGATATGACAATTCCTTCATGACAACCCTCAGCTTCATAGTGAGTGGCAGAGCAATAACTGAAATAGTGAGATTAGTTGTATGGGTCTCAAGATGAAGGGAGGGGTTGGAAAGCTGATTAGACAAGCGAGAGCCGTGAGAGCATGGAGACCTCTGGGAAGAGTTCACCCCCGCTGTGGGTGGCATATCGGTCACTTACCCAGAGCAGAATGACTAAGATACCCTCTTGGTTCCCCAAACTGCTCACTTGAATCTATAGTAGATACAGATTTCTCAAAATCTGGGGGGAAGAAAAAACAATGTGCTAAGAATCATTTCAAAACTTTTTACCAACTCTCTTCTCCACATATGAAATCTTAGATTTTAATCCAACATCTTCCCGGAAGACAAAGAAAATTAAAACTTGTTTTAGTCTATTGAAAAGAAATTAAGAACCATAATGATTCTTTGAGGTATTTGTTGATTTCTTATCATTCTTCAGTGGCAGAGTCAGAACTTGAGATTATATTTATTCATTTCCATAATTAGTTATGTCTTGTGTAATTTTTCACATCTCCATTTCAGTGCATTTTACAATTGATTTCTGAGCCTGATTTTTCCCTTGTTATTATTCTTCATTCCTCTCTCTCTTCTCAATATTGTATTAGTTTCCATATTACAATAAAATTTTATATTGATGTCTCATATGATCCTTTCAAAAACTCTGGCATTAGTCAAAATAACTATTATCACATTCTCTGAAAAAAAAAGAAAACTGAGATTGAAATAATTTGTTTAAAGTCAAGCAAGTTTATATTAGCAGAAACTAAAAGTCTTCTTGTGCTTTTCCTCTATGTCACATGATAAATATGCATATTCTTAATAGGATTTCTACAGTGTTTAGACATATAACCCTTGGTTGCATGAAACCAACACAGGAAGTATTCAAAATGTTTAAACCCAGGCTCTGAATAAATCAAAACAGAAATCACTGCTTTGGAACATGTTCTTGATTACCTCTATCCATGCAAATTTATGCAGATGACGGGCTTGATGTAGTGGGTTTATAGATTTACCTTATTCTCGAACAAGACGACAGGCAAATCCAGCACCTTTATATGTGAGAGGGTCACAAATCAGAAATTCAGCTGTGAAAGGAAGTAAACAACTTACTGGGGTGTTCTTCTTTAATGTTTGGTCAAAATGTTTGAAGTTCTCTCTCGAGGCCCGGAAGGAAAAAAGTGCTATGGTTTTGGAATCAGCTAACCCTGGATCGGCTGCTCACTCTCAGATAAATCACTTACCCTCTTTGAGTCTTGATAGCTTCATCTATAAAATGGAAATAATGAAAAGGCAGCCCCCACAAAATCCTCCCTGAAGTCTGCTGCTATGATAAGAAAATAAGAAAATACCTAAAATGCCTTAGACATGGTAAGGGGTGATCGTCAGTATCACCACCACCATTGCTATTATTTGGGGCTGTTTTCCCTGGACACTGTTGCATGTCCTTAGCAACAGCACAGTTTGGGGGAAGATCATTTTTGCTACTAGACAACTATTTACAAATAAGATGAATAAGTGAATGACCAAATTAACAGATTTTTGGACTGCTGCCTCTAATATAATGCCAAATAAGTCATGTGGGGACTTGGAAGGTTAAACAGTGGGGACCCGGAGGGAGTTACATGCCATGAAACTCCCAAGGGACAAATACAAAACTTTTTATCTCACCTAACTAGGCAACAAATGATTAAAATGTCTATGGAGACCCAGCTTTGCTTGTTGAGGGAGATCATGGTATATTTACACTATTTGCAGTAATTCTCTTTGATAAGGCACAAATGGAGCCACAGCATGACCTCCAGGGCTGCAATTTGACATAAAAATTGAGGGACAGAGACACAGGCTCTGTCAGTAAGCAAGATGAGTGGACCCAGGAATTAGTGCTTCTCTTAATATACCTTCAAAATGTGTACCCTTGAGAAGAAATACCAACTTATTCAACTGTTTATTGATCCCAAATGTGTTTTGGCCATAATGATGAGTGGTGGGAACACAGGCTAAGGCAAAATAAACATCATTCTTGCAGTCATGGTGCTTAAATCTAGTGGAGAAGATATACACTAAACAAGTAGACACTCAAGAAGTATACATGTAGAACAAAATGCTGTATGTGTACAA